ATATAGCATATATTCCTTTTCTTTTATAATTTTCGAAATATTTATTAGCTTAACAAACTCAAAAAAATATTTAATCATGCATACAAAAATAGTTTCATTACTTTTTAGCACACTGGCACAATGACTGTACATAAATTTACGACATTGATTTATTCAAGATGGTAGGTTAAAATAGTTCGGTGCTCCCTGTGTTGTGAAATGAATAGTTGACTTTTGTCAGTTTTTGTAAGGTGCTAAGTTCATCGAAAAACATATTGAGTGTTGCCAATCTGAAATAAAATAAAAATAAATAATAAGAAAATTTATACTAAAAAAATAATATCAGACCTATAAATAATATTAATAATTATAATACTTTTGCATGGCTTTCCTTGTGTTTCTACAGCAGTTGTTATTTAATTGTAAAAATCATTAAAGTACAATGCAAGTCTATATATAGAACTTGGTTGGAAATTGTACATATGATTTTAATATGACTACTTGTGGAGAACGAACAAGGCAGATCACCAAGGAACAGGCTTATTTCACCTTTGCAAATTTGCTTTTCTTATGATCTATTTTGTCCTTCTTGTTAACATGTTTTATAAAGTGTATCCAAATTCAATCAAGTTGTTTTCACACATACTGAGTATTCAGTACATTTTTATGTCAGGTAGGGGAAAATTACACCTATAATTATTGTTATAGTTATTAATATTAATAATGATAATGATTTTATTGAAATAATATTTTTAAAGTCACTCTGACCATAATGTCATAGTTAATTAGATTTTAATTGGGGTTTTTGACTTAAGTTCTGCGAACTTACAGTATATTAAAAAGTCAATGCACACTTGCATCACTATCTAATGTAATTAATGTAATTTAATGTAATTTAAGCATTTTCTTTAGTTTATCAAATTATAGCCTAATCATTAGGAAATATTTGATATAAAATTTTAAACATGTTTTCTTAATACATTGCACTCTTATACTCTAATTCTTTATATTATCATATCAGATGGTGTAATGCATACAGTACTCCAGGTGCTGGGGTGGGCACGATCGTGTGGGGATTCGGTGTTTCGGTGCTGCTTGTGCCGTCATCAGGAATTGTTCCTGATGATGGCATGATTGGCGTTCTGTCCCTGGGTCCCTGTATGGAGGCGTGCGTTTCGATGCTTGGAATGTGTATTTTGCTATCTTAAATGTGATATAATCAGTGGAACTTTTGGTTTTATTACATTATCTTGTAATATTGTTTGCATATACAGTACCTCATATTGCCTAATTTCCATTGGGGTCCTTCTGGTGGTGATTGAACAGTACACTGGGAAACAATCCCCTACTCTTTTCCGAAGAGTGTACTGCGTTCTTTAACGTGCACATGGGCCATAAATGCACACGGGACCAACGGCTTAAACGTCTCATCCAAAAGACGGTGCGCTATTGTAACTTGTATTTCAGCCCTCAAGCTGAAACACAAGGAGAGGCAGCGATGGGAATTGAACCGGGGATCTAGAGATCTCCACGGTTCAGCGCACACACAGTGGCTACCACCAGATTAGCCGACTAAGCTAAGTACAAAGTTTGGCGTCACTGTATTTAAATAGCAGATGAAAAATATAATTAAGAGAATCAGATGTAGATCGTTGAAAACAAAAACCAAACTGAAAGTTGGAAAAATTAGAATGCACAACAGTATTAACGGAAAGAGTAAAAAATTTAGCCTGGAAAGGAGCACACGAATAAACAAACAGCTTAATAACAAAGTTACGAAGATTGTCAGGACCTGGAGATTTAGAGTTACTAAGATTTTTAAGATGCAGAGATAACGTCAGATGGGGTGATATTTAAAAAGTCATGCAAGAGGTGAGGCACATGAATACGGGATAGAAAAAGGAGAGTCCGATGAACATTTATTAGCAAATATCAAATCAATCTGCTAGGAAATAACTCGAGGTGAATTAATGGGTGTACCGTTGTGGGGTTTAAAAGTTCGCGAGTAGGACTTACTGTATTGCTGGTTGGTAAGATGTTTTGTACTTTTGACCGCCAGTTACATCGCACGTCCATCGTAAACGGGGTCCGTGACCTCAAACATCAATATACACCTCATGAGTTATCGAATATCATTCGAAATGAATATCGTGATTGACCACATGACGAGTATTGAATAAAAAAAAGGTCGTGAAAATCATATCTATTATCGGTGTATGACGATTGATTCCATACAAAGAATGTTTAACTTTAATAATTAATTTCACGCCATTTATCCTGTTCACACAATACCTATTTCACATAAAATATTGATCGCAATAAAATTATATGCATGTAAAAGGAGCATCATATTTTCGGTTACATACTGATTACAGCTCAATTATTAGTTACAAACAATATTTAATAATGTTTAATGATGATTAAAAATCATGGTGTTTTTTATTAAATCAATTCAACAATAATAATAACGATATTCTTAATTAAAGGTGATTGTAATAACGATAGCAATAATAATAACACTAATGACAGCAACAACGGTAACGATAGCAATAATGGACTTGGACATGATACTAATATTAATATTTTTTATTTTTTTATAAAAGCGCCAGTTCCAAACCAAATCAATGATCAAAGGCGCTGATCGTTATTACCTCTGATCAATGGATAACATACAACGGCAAACCAGCACAATGTGCAACCTTCTATGCTCACTGGGAGTACCTAGTTGTAATAATATTGTTAACAACATAATTTCACTTTTCACTATACTGACATACATGGTACTACTGTAATGCTCTACATAGAATAAATGCTGTTCTCAGGCATAATGAGTGGATTTTATTACAAAAAAAAATCAGGTGAAACAGGATTAAAACACATTGCCAATAAAGGCAAAATGCTGTCTCTTATACACATCTAGATGTGTATAAGAGACAGGAACTTATATGCATGTAAAAGGAGCATCATATTGTCGGTTACATACTGATTACAGCTCAATTATCGGTTACAAACAATATTTAATAATGTTTAATGATGATTAAAAATCATGGTGTCTTTTTTTTTTATTAAATCAATTCAACAATAACAATAACGGTAATTAAAGGTGATTGTAATAATGATAGCAATAATGATGACACATAGCAACAACGGTAACGATAGCAATAATGGACTTGGACATAATACTAATATTAATATTTTTTTTTTTTGTATTTATTTATTTTTTGTAAAGCGCCAGTTCCAAACCAAATCAATGATCAAAGGCGCTGATCGTTATTACCTCTGATCAATGGATAACATACAACGGCAAACCATCACAAAGTGCAACCTTCTATGCTCATTGGAGGTACCTAGTCGTAATAATATTATTACCAACATAATTTCACTTTTCACTTACATGCTGTTCTCAGGCATAATGAGTGGAGTTTATTACAAAAAAATCAGGTGAAACAGGATTAAAACACATTGTAAATTAAAGGCAACATGTTTACAACTGGCAACATTATTATTTATAGTTTACTTTTGCTTAATTAAATAATATTGTTTATTTTTTTCTTTTTTTGAAGGCACTTGTGGAGTAACCGAATAACTGAACTAAACCAAGGTGTATTCAGTGGTTTGACTAGTCTTCAAAAATTGTAAGTGACAATTTACAAGTTATGAATAATTCTATTATCATATCAATTATTTTTAATTAATGCATGATTGTTTATGATTGTGATAAATTATAATAATATTATTTTCTCGAACTTTAAATCATACAAAAAAGGGTGATGTTTTTAAAACAAAATCACAATTCAAATGCAAAAAGAAAAATAATATATATATGAGAATCTACAATTTTTTAATAATTGTTTTGTATACAGCATCTACAGTAATACTCTAATAATTCGGTAATTATTTACATAATAAATCCTATAGCATGCATGACATTAGCCTACCGTTTCATTAAAAATCATGGTGTTTTTTTTTTATTAAATCAATTCAACAATAAAAATAACGATATCGGTATTAAAAGGTGTTTGAAATAACGATAGCAATAATGATGACACTAATATAGCAACAACGGCAACGATAGCAATAATGGACTTGGACATAACACTATTATTATTTTTTTTTTTTTTCTTATATATATAAAACTCAAGGTACGTTGACTGTTATTACATGAACACCTGAGAATTGAGAAAATTCACATAAGAACAGGACTAGTCATTTAGCATTTTTCTTTTGTGATTGTTATCCCCTATTCAAAATGCCACCGACCTTATTTTTCAATGGCCAATATTCTCCACAACCAACGGCGTACACTTTTTGAAACAGTGGCTTAACATAGTTTTTGATGTAGGGCTAAATAAACAGAAAACACATGGATGGAACTTTAAAGAAAAAAGTACGGTCTTGTAGTCGTACTTCCACGCATGGGAAAAAAAAACACCCCTTTAATGCCTACTCTGTTTGATTTTATTACATTTAAGAGGCATGCGCACAAGTCGTTTGCAGTAAATGTTTAGTTCATTCCCTGTTTCATGTATTCAGGAGCGCAAGGAGGTTCCCATCGGGCAGTGGGGTGCAAAAATTGTAAATGGAACTACAAAGAATCAGTGGCGCAACGAAGGGATTGAAGGCCCGAGCCATACGCTGGGGGCCAGGGGCTGCGAAGGGCCCTGGTTGGGGTTGTGGGGGTGAATCCCCTAGCCACTCTGGTGTTTGTAGCGTTTGTGATGTCTTTTTTGGTACTATTGAGTTCTTAATTTTGTATCTTAATTTGACAATATAAGCGTAATATATTGTAATTAAGATAACACTTTATTCGTCTGTAACTGAATTTCCTGTTACACATTGTTTCATTTTCATTATATTATAAACAAATTAATAAATCAAGTTTAATACGTTCAATCAAAAAAGAACAAAAAAATGTTGGTACTTTTTTTCTAAATATTAATACTGTTGCATGTGTTATTGGTATTGAAAAAAAAAACACAGCATTGTGAAAGTAATTAAAAAAATAATGTCAGCGTTATTTGATGTATTTTTAAAATCGTAACATTTAAAACCCATTAATTACATTGGCCTGCTGTTTCGACTATACGTTTCCACACTACTGTATGCTACGTTCACCCATACACACACCCCCACATACACACATACACTTACACCCCACACACACCCCTACACCCCCTCACACACACACACCCATACATACATATACATATATATACATACACGATACATCAGCTTTTACTTCAGCTGCTTGAAACACTTGCGTTTCTTGAAAGTCTTAGGTCTATTCGGAATTTAAGCTGCACTCCTCTGACCATCTATAAATATTACCCTAAAAGACATATCATTTCAAGCATTCTTAAAATATCATTTACTTTTAAACTTCTATATTAATAAAATGTTAATTGTTTCAAACCTCTAACTTTATGCACAATTGTAGACCTACACATAATTATTGCTGTACAGTAGTTTGACATTTAAATTTTACTTTATTGTTCATTCAACTATTGAGAGGGATTCCCCTTTCCAAATGAGATTTTTTTTAAAGAATATCAACCTCTAGATAGCCGAAAATGGCACTCTGAGTCTGTGACGGACATGTGTTGACTTGGTGTGGGCCTGTCACGCCAAAATTGGTCCGGGCCAAAAAGAGAGACCGATTTTGGCCGCTAAACTTTGTCCGGGGACTGATTTTGGCCGGCCAAAATTAGTCCTCCCGGGATAATATTGGTCCGGCCAGGACTAGTTTTGGCTTAGCCTAAAATGTTTTAATTATTGCTGTTCTCTAATTAAAGATGATTGAATAAGGACTAGGATCAGTGAATTTGATGTGTACACATTACAAGCCCAGACTGTATTGGAGCACCAATTTGACATTAGTGGGATGTATTAGGTGTACTGTCAATGCCACACCTCTACACAAATGTGTATAGCTGTCTTACAGTATGTTATACATAAGAAACCAATAATAAATAATTTGTACCTAGCTTCCAGATATACGTCAGTCAGTTTGCTGTTGTCACTATCACCCTAGATTTAAAAAAAAAAAAAATGACAGCTATAATACTATAAATGCATTTTTGAAATTGCAACTACTGTACATAGTACTCAAAATGCAAATTTGGATAGCCAATTAGTGAATACATCAGTTTTTTTATTAAAAGTGACAAAAAAAAAAAAAAAATTGTTGATATGTTGGAAAACTGATTTTAAAAACTTGGGAGAAAAGGTGAAAGAAAAGGCAGTTATGCCCCTTTTTCTCCCAGTAAAATATTCAAAAATCTGTATTTCATTCACCGTTCCCCAGTTTTACGCCAAACAACTTTTTTCTGTCTTAGAAAAATCAGCTCTACAACATATCAAAAATTCTTTTTCCTCCAAAGCCTGACTTTAAAAGACAAACATAAACACAAGGTGCTTGTGATGGGACTAAAGGAAGTGGATGGTAATGAGAAAAAAAATTTTGCTCTGGACCATTTATATTTTGGCACAGGGATTTGGTTGTGAAACGTTCAGGGAATTAAACATTTTTCAATTACAGCATTAATCATTTTTCATTCAAAATTACCCTGTACATGAGAACTTGATTATCTATTTTTAACATAGGTGGAATCCGAAAAAAATACAGCATCTGCAATTTTACAATTAAGCAATACAAACTTTTGAATACATTATTTATTATAATGTATTTGATGCATTAATGATAGGACATATTATAAAGTTAATATAATAAACAAATTAGTGAAAATTTAGATGAAATCAACATGGGTCCAAAGCAATTGATTCCTTCTTGAAATGGATCAAGAGAACTACAAAATTTGCCCTGGAAATGAGTTGAGACCACAAGGGCGTCAAAAAGCAGTTACGTCTGAAAATATTAGAGCAAATAATTATAATAATAATAATATAATAATAATATGTCGTTCTTATATAACGCTTCATGCCTTTACAAGGCCTCTAAGCGCTTCACATTACTACCTCGGTCATTGGATCAAACACATATGGAACACATTGAAACACCAAATTAAATTAGTAAATGAAATTATATTATCATTCCATAAATTGCAGCTAGTAATCAGCGCAGGTTGTGTTGGAACCTACAGTACCAGGTACCCACTTGTACTCCTGGGTGGAGAGAGGCAACCGTAGATAAAGTGCCTTGCCCAAGGACACAAGCGATTTGCACAGAAAGAGTTTCAAACCCCGATCTCAAGGTTGGGAGTCCAATCCACAACCGGTGCGCCAACCACTCCTACGCCCCATGGACCCGACAGGCAAGGTTGATAACCTCCCCACCTCTCCCCCACCCCACAACACTCATGTTCAAAAAGTTGTCTACACTCTTGGACTGCTGTACATTGAATACTAGTCACTTCGGCCCAAAACCAAATCGGCCTAAAACCAATTCGGCCCAAACCAACTCAGACCAAAACAAACTCGGCCCAGACAATACTTCGCCCCAAAACTAACTCTGCCCCAAACCAACTCGGAACAAAACCAACTTGGCCCAGGAAACAAATCTATAGCCCTAAATAAATAAATAGTTCTATCCGAGGGAGAATTCAATTGAATTGAAAATTTACAATTGTATTCGAATAATGCCAAACCAACATTAAAAATCTGAAAACCATTATAACATATATTATAAACTGTGTATGTAGCCAGTTTGAATTAAATGTACAGTAGCTGAATAAGTCTGTATTATTTGTGTATTTTGTTTCGCTTTATATTCATACAAATATATAGTACATTATTTTATAAAGGTATTATAAGATTCTTCTAAAAGGGAGTTATGCGCATACCCATGAAGCAAGTGTTAAATTTCTGCTTAAAGGTGATGAACCATAGTGTTGTAAATTGAAGCTACTCTATGTTTAATTGATGT